GAAGAAACACTCATACATTGGCTTCAAAACATCAACGTCACTACATGTCTGAAAATAGCAAACATACACCAGCCACCCAGCATTCTGTGTCCGGGCCCTCCACACGTGCACTAGTTAGAAAAGTGAAGAGTAGATATTACTCCTCCACATTCCCCCAAGCCATTATCTTGCTTCTCTCTGTGGGTAGTATCAGTGTGATTGTTCCTTTCTTGGTTTCTATTCACGTCTTCTCGTGGTCTCTGCTTTGTGTGGTGGTTGTGGCCAGATCTCCTCTTGGATTGGTCCTCTGCTTTGTTTCCTTTTCTCCCTTCGAACCCATTAATCCCAAAAGGTCCATCAGGGGCTGGCAGATGCCCCAGGATACCTGCTGGCTTTAAATCTTTATTACTTCTCTGAAGTCTTGAGTTTTCCATTGTTTTTGCCCTCTGAGAGTTCTTTTTCACTTTCTTGTTTGTGTATGTAAGGTGAGGTTTAGAAAATGTGGGTTCCTGGGCATTTTTAGTCATTTTTTAAAAAAGAAAATCTTCTTCAGTGCGCCTGCTTCACACAATATAAACATTTCTCGATATAAAAATAGAAGACTCTTAGCACCCTTTTATATTCTTTCCCTTTGCCCAAATTGCCAAAAACTTGAAAAAGTGGTCTTCCATCATTATTTCAGTTTCCTTCCTTCTACTGTTGATAGAACTCACCTTTTACTTTAGAGTGAGTTGCATGGGAGGCAGGTGCTCAGACGGAAATTTGCATGTAGCACATTTATTGCAAAGTTCCCTTGGGAGCAAGCCCTGCAGGGCAGGGCTGGGAGGGTGAGCAGAGGGAGAAGCTGAGCTCCAGTGCAGTTTCAGCAGAAGCCTCAATGGATCCCAGTGCAGGTTCTGGTGAGGGACTGGACCTTCACAGCTGCCTGCAGAGGGGAGCCAGAGGGCTGGGATTTATACTCAGATCTGACAGTCACTGGATATAGGCACTGGAAGTGGTAGTGTGATGTTTGGCAAAGAAGGCTTTCCACGGCACACCCCAGAGGCTCTGGGACCTGAGGGCAGTGTGAGGGGAGTAATGAAGGGGCACCTGGGAAGGACATCCTGGAGTCTTCCATGTGTACCTACTTACCGACTGAGCCATTTGCAGTCTAGCTCTGCACGTTCCTTAAACTACCAGGAGATTATCTCCCCCCCGCCCCTCTCTCTCTCTCTCTCGGAAAGCAGTTTTATTTATGTTTTCTTCTTTTTTAAATCAGTGTCTCATTCAGCTTCTGTAATCCAGCTCTCTCTTCTCACTCCCAAGGGTGCTTTGCCTCTGTGTCTCTCTTTCTGGGCCATTCTTCTCTACAGTAAATCTGGGCTCTGCCTCAGATGTTCTTCTCTCCTTTTCCATTCTCTCTTTAGGTGATCTTATTTATATCCATACATACAAATTATGTTCACAGTTTATGAATATTTAACTAAAATCTCTGTACAACCAAATTGTGTTCCAGAAAAGATATATCCATTTATAACACCAGTAGCAATATATGTTTATATCCATAAGGATTTCTACATTAATATTAAGTGGAAAATTTAATAACAATTTTTTTCTTCAACCTAAGTCCTTAGAAGTATAACTTGTTCAAGATTATCTTGGGTTTCATTGAAATTTGGCAAAACATTTAGTCATATGAGTTTATATTCTGTGTATTGGAAAATATAGGCCTCTTACACAGGGTTCCATATGAATGAAACTGGAGAAATAGGGAGATATTTATTTTATACAAGTAATCACTATATCCTCAGATATGATAGATTCATCAGTAAATAACATAAGATGCTGCTGTGTCCTGTCTTACTGAAGGAAATACATTATTTCTAATAATGAGAAAAATGTTAAAACTGCTAATCATACCATAAGGTACCCACACCCTGATCTAATCATGTGGGATGAATAAGTCTGGTGATCCTACCAAGGGTTCTAAAGTTCCACCGAGTTTCCACGCCACCGCCTCTCTTATTGTTTCTAGAATTGGCTTCCTCTTGTGATTATAAATGGTTGTGACACACATTGTCATCATGATAGTGCTGTGATTGTCTGGAAATGACCATGGCTAGTGACACAAAGGGACTTATGGCCCCTGCATTCTGGGAAGTATTATTCGTTATCACCCCAGTTCCCCACTCTGACACCATTCCATTAGAAATATTCCCATGTGTAGCCTGACTCTGGACTGGGTGTCACCCATAGCAGCCCTGGTGTCCCCGTGGAGTCCTGCCTTATTCTCAAACACCACTCCAGAGAAATTAGAAAGGGAAGAGGGGAGATCCCTAAGGTCACACAAGGGGATGTGACAGTAACATCCAAACTAAGCTTTCTCATTGGATCATGAATAAACAGTGGCAGATCTGAATTAAATTCATGTAAATGTCTTTAAACAAAAAACGTGTAGTTCAATACAATATTTTTTACAATTTCTCAAAATCATTTCTTAACAGTCAGATTAATTTTGAGTTACAGGTCAATGCTCAGATAGTCTGTCCCATCTTGCTGTCACATGTTTTGAGAACCTTGACTCACATAATAGACAACACAAGTGACAAACATTTCCTGATATTCCTTAAGCCCAGTCATAGTAAAAACTGAGGAGAGATGCCCAAAATGCTACCAGGCAAGGGGCCATGTTGGAATGCAGGAGTCATTAATGGGTCACCTGAGGACAAAATTCAGCTCCTCCAGAAGGAAGTAAACAGATCTAGACAGGGATAATTGTGTATCTCTTCAGGCTCACTAATTCATGTCTCTCTGAGGGTATTTGAGTTTTGAGCCCCTTGGTGTTTTGAAGCCACTGCTAAGGAAATCATTAACTGTCTCTCTTAGGTTACTGCTACCCAGCCAATTGGAGGGGTCTTTATCACATGGGCCTCTGATGTTCACCTGATTCAACCACTGAGTCTGGGAAGTATTTCATTCACAGTCTTTTCATTCACGGAAGATTTTTTCCTCAGACACTTTAATATACAACAAATCAAGAGTTTCCAATGATTCATAATCTCCAAAGTCAAATTTCTTCATTCAGTTTATCTTCCTTACATTTATAATTGAAACGTGTAGATTATCTTTGATTTAGGACATTTAGCTTTCAGAATGTATTTAGTAAACAAGATAAATCTGGGTCAACAAACATATTTGTCCAGATTTTATTCTTTTAAAAAACATTTTTCTTATACCAGAAAGAAAAAAATATTAACTCTAAGTTTGAAAATTCTGTTTAGCACCTCCTCCTGACTATACTAGAATATATCTGTGTGGGTACATTTTCATTCAAATTTTCTAGTGAACATATATTCAAATTAGTATTTTAACATTGTTTTAAGAACATTTACTATTTTTACTACCTCTATGAACAAAATGAAAAATATGAAAAAAGTGATTTGAGAGAAGAATAGTTTTTGGAAAACAAGATTTTCTCTGACATAAGTCTGTATGCAATGACTCATGTAGTTTTAATTACTTGTGGATTTTTCCTTTTCCTGCAGACATTTATATATTCTTCAAGTAAACAGTGCTACATTGACAAAAATAACCCCCATTGGTATATATCTTACAATTTTTATAAAATAAGAAATATAAATATTTTCAGTTAACATATGTTCACAGATAAAATCGTTACAAATGTAATAAACAAATCCAAAATATAATATGACTTAATTTGCCTGAGAGCCTTTTTTTTGTTTTTGGACATTTGAAAGTTTGTTACTTGAAAATGCTCTGTGAGGAAAGTAATTTTTTCTTTAGTTTTGCCATCTCTGTTTGCCAAAAGAAGAATTGCTTTTCACATCTGAAGGTTAGCACTTTAGCTACCATTCCCTAGTGTCATCTTTCAAGGTGATTCTGAAAATGGTCATCAAACAAATCTTTAGATTGATTTGTGTTCTTTGTATTCATCCTAACTCTCTCTCTCTCTCTCTGTCTCTGTCTCTTTCTCTCCCTCTCCATTTCCCTCTCCCTCTCCTATAATCTGTTGCTTTTCCTTCAACATATTCATGATTTGTCTCATGATTCGTTTTAAACTTGCTTTGAGAACTATTCAGATTTATAATTATAAGTAATTTAACTTTTTTTCCTTTTGTCACAAGAAACATCAAGATTTGTACTCCTTTTAACACTCACAATAATATAACCCATGTTTACCATGAGCTCTGAGGCGTGTCTTATACCGTACTGTTTCAGCTTCCCTAGCGCCTGAGGTAATGAATGACATTGTCATCTCAGGTACATGGGCCACATCACATACCTGGGCTAATTGAGACTGTTCTGGACTTTCTTACAAACTCTGTACACAAAGCTTATGACTTTTATGTGCCAGTCTCATCTCATTTGAAAATATATTTGAACCAGTTTTTTTCAATTTCAAGATAGCAAGTGAAGAATGATACAAAAATCATAGCACTCATAAATTATCAAGGATTTCCTGTGGTGAAAAGTGAAGCTAAATAGTAAGTTTATATGTTGTTGTTAAATTATGAGGTTAACCTGGTTTGTGGGAATTGATGTTGTTTTCTGAAATTAATAAAAGGCATTCAAAGTAACAATACTTCTTTAAGTTTCATTTCATGATCCTCCACTCACTTTCTCAATCAGAAGTGCTAAGATTCCACTTTGATGTTAGCTATATAAGTTAACCACTAACTCTTCAATTCCTCCATTTCATATCAACTGTTTTTGCTTCCCCAGCCTTCCTAAGAAAGCATTCATATTGTCTGAAACTAAGAAGTGGGAACTTTGCAGAAATGCATTTGACAGGACATTTTCAAATTTCAAACATTGAAAAACACTGCTTTTCCACTGAGACAGTGAAGTACTGGAAAGTTGTGCCATATTCAGCCTATGCGTGGCACATGTCCTAGCCTAAGGGGAATGTGCACGCCTTATTGGGAAAAGAACTTCAATCTGGCTATGCCACTTTCTTGTTCAGTGATTTTGAACAACACACTTTAGTTCTTTACACCTAATATTTTTTTTTTTTCTTAAAGGCCTGAAAGAGACAACACATGTGAAGTGCTAAACGGTCTTCCTGGAGAATAGATGTTCAATAAATGTAAGCAATGTATTATAATGCAACTTCTGTGTCCTAGAAGAATCCTTTTAGTACTCTGTAGACTCTCCAGTACATTTTCATTGTTTATTCTTTGTGAGAACAAACTGAAATTGATCATTCTGTGAAAAATTAAATGTAGTCTCTGTTTCCTAGCATAAGCCGTTACGTGCTAGGTAGGGGTAAGCATTTGGAAACCGATGTCATCTGGGGTTTGGGTGGGTGGTCTCAACCACTTTAGTCCTCTTGCCTTTCTTTGTCTGGGATTCCAGTCGTGTTGAAGTTACACCTACCCATTCACAATAGCACTTACCCATTTGTCGGGAAGTACAGTTGTTTTCATTCAAGAAGCAAGTTTTGCAGTTTGTGAAATTCTCCAGTAAGACCTGCTGACAGCTTGAACGGGCAAAGAAACACCTCCCCGGGAAGGGACTGTTGGATTTGCCGGTAGCATCTTCCCTTCTGGAAGTGTCATGTCAGACAAATGATGGTGTATGATTCTCAGCTTTTGTTGCAGTCTGTCTTACAGTGGCCAGGAAATGACATCTCTAATCCTTGTGCCCTTTGGGTTACGGGCCCATATGTCAGAATGATAGCCAGCAGGGATGGTATGGGGAAGTCCTACGGCCTATCTTCGCCTTGTCCCACACCTTCAGAGTGAGCAGGCCACGGACGCAGCAGACTCATTCTGAGGGAGTCAGGGAGAATGAAACCGGCAACCAGACACGGAGCCCAGCTGGGCTTGTATGGGTCCTTAGTGAGCTATCAAGAGTCCCAAGAGCATTTCTAAAAAAAAAAAAAGAAGAATGTCAAATATTTAAAGAATTTTAATACTGTAATAACGTTGAAATTCTTGTGATATTTTTTCATGGTGAGTGGGAAAATTTTTCCCCTCTTTATTCTTACACCTAATTGAAGGGATATAATTCATCAATATGAATTCAAAGAATAGGTAATACCACTCTTATTGTCTTCTGGCTTTGGAATGCTGTTGGGAATCTCCTTTGAGCAGTAGTTTTGTTATTGTTTTGTGTAGATGAGATTATCTTTTAAATGTTTTGTTTTCTGAGCTGGTCAACTGTTCTGGTTTGGAAGCACCATAAAGGCAAATCAATCTACTCAAAAAACTTTTTGATGATAATGCCAAAAACCAAGGTTTGTCGATAATTTCCTGCATACCTGGGGCTTTTATAAGTTCTTTACTTGTCTCATCTGTGAAAGAACAGTGGTACCTACCTCAAAGTTTGCTCTGAAAATTAGGTTAGTACTGATAGAGAGCATTTGGAATAGTGCTGAATACAGCAAACCATGTTAGCTACTATATTGATATTTATTCATCATACCAGTCCTCTATGTTGGTGCTAATATTGCCAGCACTTTACAGATTAGGAAAGTGAAGGGCAGGTAAAGGAACCTGTCCATGGTCATAACAGTGTGTGGCAGAGCCAGGGTCAGAATCCAGAAACTTTGACTCCTGATCAAACTGCTTCTGTTGTTTGAGTTTCCATTTTACTGGGCAGACCTTGTCATTCCAGGAAGGGCTTAATGCGTTAGAATTATTTATATCACATGTGATTATATCTCCTGGGATCTATGATTGACTCTATGAGTTAATCATAGCTGTGTCAATGTACATCTTTGCATTTTAATTCTTAGCTGCAAAAGAGGGAAGATGAACCAAATGCTCTCCCAGGATTTTCCAGTACTGTGAACAGTCTGTAAGCCCGTGGAGTTCACTTTCACTCAAGCAGTTTACCGGATGTCACTTGACGGCCTGACAAAGGGAAATTGGTTAAAATTGTAGCAGAAGGTGCGTGTGTGCATGCGTGCGTGTGCATGTATGCAGGAATGTTTTCCTTATAACGAGGTAGTTAAATACTGAAAAGAGAAGTTTTTAAATTCCCTTACCCAAAACCCTGTAGGGAAAAGGTCAACTCTACCACTTGGAGTCGTCAGTGGACACTGATGGCCTAGGAGCTGCACACAAAATAGGTTATAGATTTCTTGTGGCTAAATGGTTCTATTTCTCCATGATGTTAACTCCGCAGTAACTGTTAGGGCTTAACAATTCTAGTCAAATCATTAGCCTTCACACCAAGCTGTGAATTTCTTACTGGGAAAAGGAAGGAGGCATATCCCCATCCCCCATTCCCCTGGAGAAAAGGCAGCTGTAAAGTCAGGTGCTCTGTGGGCTGAAGGAAGGAAGGACACTGGCCAGATCAGCTTTGGCTGGAGGCTAAATGGTGAAATAGGCAGGGCTTTCCTTTCTTCCTTTTAGGAAGTCCCTGTGCTCCTTAGCAAGAATCCCCCTCCTGCAGAACTCAGAGCCTCCTTCCCCTCCTTCAGTCTCCTGCCCTGTCCCTCAGATTCCACACTTTGGCAGCAAAGGGCTCATGGTGGTCTAGTATATAACACTTTCCAGGTGACATTAATGTTTTCACAGAGCCCTGACCATGCCATCCATTATCTTAATGCACATATTAAAGAAAAGATCTGGACGAAGACACATGGTCTTCTTAGTTCAGTGTTTCCTCATTAGAGGAGTGAGAGATCTTCTTACTCTACTATGGGCAAGGCAGCCTGGCCTGGGTGGAGATAATTAGATCTACAAAGGAAAGGCCTATTAAAAATTATAATTTTTTAATTATTGTGGCTGCTGTGAAAAAACAACACTTCTACATTGTTGTTGGGAATGTAAATTAGTACAACCATTATGGAAATCAGTATGGTGATTTCTCAAAGAACTAAAATTAGAAATTCCATTTGACCCAGGTATTTTCCTTCTAGGTATCTTCCCAAAAGAGCTGAAAACGTCATACTACAGCAATACATGCACACTGTTGTTTATAGCAGCATAATTTGTAACAGCTAAATCCTGGAAGCAACTTATGTGTCCATCACCAGAGGAATGGATAAAGAAAATGTGGTATCTATACATAAAGGAATACTATTTGGCTATAAGGAAGGATAAGTTCGAGATACTTGCAGGAAAATAAATACACCTGTAAAGTGTAATGTTAAATGAAATAAATCAGACACGCAAGCTTAAATACCACGTGGTAGCTCTCATTTGAGTAAAGCAAAGCATAAATAAAGATCAAAATAAAGAATTGCAAGAAGAAAACAGAGAGAGAGATGCTTTGCAAGTGTAAAGTGAACCATGAGACCAAGGTTGGGGAAAGCAGATGTAGAAAGATTTAAGATAGGTCGTGCACATGTACCAACTACCCACCCTGAGTGTCATCATTATATGTCACAGACAGGAACTAAAAATAATAAAAATCATAATAATGAAAATGGGGAAAGAGGGTCTAGAGATGGAGGGAGGGACGAAGGTGTGGAGGGAAAGGAGAATAAAAAGGAATCAGGGAGTGTTACATGTATATTCCTACCCCCCAAGATGAATGTAAACTTCATGTATTGCAAACACGAACGAATATAATACAATTAAAGAAAATATGGGAGCTGGGTGAGGTGATGCCCACCTGTAGTCGCAGCTACTTGGGTCACGAAAGCAGGGAGATTGCTTGAGCCCAGCAATTAGGGACCAACCTGGGCAGCCTAGCTAGACCCCATTTCTTTAAAAATCACCACTCCTGGGAGGCATTGGAACCTTTAAGAGGTGTGGCCCAGTGGAAGGTCTTCAGGTCACTACGGGCCCTTACAAGGGTCAGTGCAATCCCAGCCCCTTCCTCTTCTTTCTCCTTCCTTGGCCATAAAGTGAGTGGTTTTGCTCTGCCACAGGCCTCACACCCTTCTCATCTGGCACCTCCACCAGAGGTCTAAAAGGAAAGGGTCTACAACTGGACCCTCTAAAACCATGAATCAAAATAATGTTTTTCTTTCTAAAGGTGGTTTATCCCAGGTGGTTGTTACAGTGATGGAAGCTAAAACAAGTCCTAAAGGAAAAACATCCTCTTATTTCTATACTAGTTAGTTTCTGAGGCTGGCAGGACCAAGTCTTGGGCTGATGCAGTTAAACTACAGTCCAGGGCTCTGGAGTAGAGCTTGGCAGTAGAGCGCTTGCCTTGTATATGCAAGGCCCTGGGTTTGATCTCCAGCACAGACAAAAACAAGGAAAAAAACCTACTGGTAAGTAAGTGTCCAACCATAGAGAAGGAACAAAGCATTTTCTCCTTTGGACAGAAAACAGGACAAGTTTCTTCAAATCTATTTTTCCAGGATTTGTTTTTTTATTTTTTGTGGTGCTAGGGGTTGAACCCAGGGCCTTGTGCATGCCAGGCCAGTACTCTACCACTAATCTTTATCTCCAGCACTCCAGGGATCTTTTGTAACTCTCCTGTAAGAGTTCATAAATGACTTTAGATATGACACTTAGCTGGATGTCTGGTGTTGTAATTCATTACTGGCAGAGAACTCTGGGAGAATTTTATTTCACTAACCTGTACCTCTGCTGTATTGCCAGGCTTACATTTCACCTTTTGCTTTCTACTGTGATTAATATCTCTTGTTATCATCATCATCTCTTAGCAGAGTTAAGTACTGATGGAGTTCCTATATTCTATATAGGTTTTCTGAAACCTCTTAGTTTGTAACAAGAATATCTGAATTATTTAAATCTTTTGCATCCATTCAATCCTGTAACCAAATCCTTGAATCGGTTTCTCAAGGCAAATGTAATATCTTTAAAGTGAACTTGGATTGTTCTAGCCTGGTAGAATTCCTCTATCCTTTAGAATAACTGGCCTTCTCCTGAGTCTCTCACTGGCCTTAGGATGAATTAACCCTAACCCTAACCCTAACCCTAAACCCTAACCCTAACCCTAACCCTAACCCTAACCCTAACCCTAACCCTAACCCTAACCCTAACCCTAACCCTAACCCTAAACCCTAACCCTAACCCTTCTCCCCCTCCCCAAATACCAAATTGTATAACATAAGTCGAGCTAGAGATGTGTGGTTCCTTAATATTAAAGCATAGTTTGATTGGCTATTGGTATTTCTCAATTTGTTTGGATGGAAAGAGTAGTACAGCCATTTGTGTCTTCATTTATTTGCCCCCACATACCATCGATTCCATCTTACAAATTTTATCAAGTTATACATGGAGTTGACAAATCCAGGTAATTTTTATAGCATCTGAAAATATCCTGTTATCCAAGGGTGAGTATGTGTAATCACCCAAATCTGCATTTATCAAGTTAAGTGCAAATATTTTGATAATATCACATTTATGAGTATGTCATGAAAATCATTAACTTTTCCTCCCTCACTGTTTCTCAAATGCTCTATGTAGGTTGCTGAAGGCATAGAGCAATGAACTGTAGCAACTTCTGCTGACTTACTTGTAGCGATGTCATTAGGATTTCATATAATGTATTACTTTGTACCCTCCTAACCTGAAAATGTTTCATATTTACCTCTCCAGACTAGTGTCCAGATTGTTTGGAAGTGTGAAGGAAGGATCCCAGGAGAAAGAGCTGAGCAAGACATCTGTGGTAATAAAACAATCAATAAAATTGAATCCAAGAAGGTGACTATTCAGGTGAGGTGGCTGCTGTGCTCTAAACAAACCCACATAAGTGACCATTGGCAAACAAGATGGCATCTTCCCATCAGTGTGGAGCCTTGATTTCCAGGCAGAGAATGCTGACACCACCTCCCACGGGGTGACAGGAAAGACCCAGGACTGGAGGGTACCATGCTGTCTGTGTTTATTCATACTAGGAAGAGGCCATCTTGGGGTGTCTGTGGAGCTTTATTCTATATGTAATCTTTCAGAATCAGCAGTTTAAAAACATCCCCTTGTTTTCCTCTTTGTATTTTGCAGTCTTATTTTAATTAATTTCTTGATCCCCTTTCCAATTCCTTCTAATCCTGGATTCAGAACTGATATTTACTGGGTCATAGACTTTGGCCCTGGGAAGTGAATTAAATACAGCTTGGATTCAAAACTATGTTATTTCAGTTAGAAAGCTCATATGTCTGAACATGCATTTAATTCAGTTCACACTGAGGCTAAAAGCAGAGTTTTATATTCAGCAGAAACATAGAAAACACATGCCACACATCACAGAGATATATTTTTAAGACAAACTAGTCAACAGGCTTCCCTTTAGTTCGTAGGAAACTGCCTGTCTGTGTGACTGTGATACTTTCCTCTTGCTGTCATTCTGTATGGCAAACTTCTATCACAATTGTTATTTTCACGAAGAGCAACTCTTTAGAAACACTACATAGTGGTCAGAAACTCAGGGCTGCATTATTTTCTTACCTACTTAAGGGAGTTAATAGGTGGTTAAAATAATAATTATTGATAAATCTTTTCAATCTAAATAATAGCATTTAACACTTTTTTCTTTCTCTCTTTCAGTCATCTAATGTTGTCCATGAGTCCTCATTATATGTCCAGGACCACTCTTAGAAACATGCCTTGTTGACATGAACTGAAAAAAAATAACAGAATCACCAGAAAAAAATCAATTTCTTTCCTTAAGAAAGAGGCAGAGGAATGAAGTAACAAAAGAAACCTTATTCCTGTTCATAGGCCCACACATTTCACTGTTTTTACATCATTGCAGCTTGTTGTCCGGAGTTCTTTTGCAAAAGGCCACTCCAAGGTCAAGGCTGCTGAGATAGCCCAGGCAGCAGACCTTCAGAAAAGGGAGACAGTATCTCAAGGGCAGCTTCTAGTGAACCAGAAGAATCTGCTGTGGATTACAGAAGGGAAAGAAAAAAAGCGAGTCAGTCACTGATTCACTGGCTAGCCATGTAAAAATGAAGGTGACATTTTTAGCAGTAAATCTAGCAGGAGATTGAGTTATGGTTTTTTGCCGGACTAAAATTCACTCTTCATGCCTCACATTTACTCTACCGAACTGCCCATTGAATGAATTTTTCTAACCCCCTAGTTCTGTTGTGCGTGGACCAGAAGTCTGGAGGGAGGTGGGGAGAATTCATTCACTGGGCAGATGCGCAGTTAATCTGAGGCAGGGAGAATGAATTTTAAAGCAAAAGACTTCTGAATTTTAGAACAAAAGAGTTCTGTATTTGGAGAAGTTCCAATTCTTTGGGGTTTTCTGTGATTTGAATCTAGCTGGGCAAAGAGACAAGGAGTAGAGAAGTTCAGACCTCAGCCTTAAAATGGAAAGACTGTCTCAAATAGGACAAGATCACCAGTAATATGTGGGCACAATTCCTATCATCATGGAGTTGTCATAACGTATACTTGTTTTAAAAAGTATTGTCAGTGCTCAGAGAGTGTTGATCATGTAATTTAACAAAATCTAGTGGTTTTCTTTCATGAATTTTGTGGTATGTTAGGATGAATTAACACTTGCTTAGGTGTCCACAAGAAAATGGCATTCACTCTGGATGACAGAAAAGAGGGGAAAAGCTGTGATTCCACTTTTGGAGCTAATTTGTTCATATTTATCCAGGACAGCTGTGTACTTGGAACAGTTCACATTTAGAAATCGTTGTTTCAGTCATGCATCTAGCTATAAAGACTCTGAAGCTGTTCAGTCAATGACTCTAAAAAGGATATTTCATTGTGGTTTTCAACAACCATAGTGAATGTTTCCAGTTGTCTAGAAGAATTTTACTTACATTAAGATTCATTTTAGACACAATGCAGAAATATGTCAAATAAATTTGTTCAATCTCTGAGCCTTTCCTTCATTAAATAATTAAATTGTTAACCAATCACTGGGGATGTGGAATGTGGATACCCAAATAAGAAGCTGATTAGAGACAAATGAGCAAATTTGCTTGAGCCAGACACTTTTTTACTTCATTCCTCTCTACTCATACTTTAATAAAATATACTTGCTCAAATTAACTATTTAGTTTGATTTGTTCTAGAGTTTGGCTTGAATATTAACAATGGGTACAAGGAACAGAGAATGAAGGATAAGAGAGACAGAAGTGCTGGACACTCTGCACAAGGCCATAGTGACTCTTGGCTTGCTATTTGATATTAAATGAGTTCACTGGGTACATTAATGAAAAGGCTTAAGAATTCAAATGTAGTCTGTAGGATTGCCTCAGAAGTCACAGCTGTATAGACCACCATTCTTTAGTTTTCTAGAACTTTGGTTGTGTCTGTAAACACACACACATACATATAAAGAGGGAGAGGCAAATGTAATCCATGGTTATTATATTGCACATATTAGCTTGAAACACATTGGTGTAATCGCTTTCTGTTGCTGTGACAAAATACCTGAAATAATCAAAAGAAGGAAAAGTTTGTTTTGACTCATGGTTTCAGGATGTCAGTCCATGGTTGCTGGACTCGATTACCTTGGCCTATGGTGAGGCAGAACATCATAGTGAGAGTACACGTTGCCCAAACCTGCTTGCTTTGTAGCAGCTGAGAAACAAAGGAAAAAGAGAAAGAGAGTAGGACCCCAATATCCCTTCAAGGGCCCAGCTCCTTGACTTAACTTTCCTCTACTATGCTCTACCTACTATAGGTAGCACATCTCCCAACAACAACATCAGATGGAGGCCAAGCCTTCTGCACATCAGTGTTGGGGGGACATTTAAGATTCAAACTATATCAGATGGAGATTGTAAAGATTATTATTGTGTTGGAAAATAATTTCATTTATGAATAGATTCTGTATTCTAGATGAGAGGTAGAAAATGTACACTATCTGTCTATGGTGTAAATTTGGGATTAGTAAATGATGTTCTGCATATGTAATCTGGCTTATCATCTGTTTTTGCAAATAAAGTTTTATTGGAGCACAGTAGTGCTCATTTATTAATGCATTATCTGTGGCAGATATTTTGCTGCAGCTATAGGGTGGGTGTGAAAGAGACCACGTGTCCTACAAAGCCTAAAATAGTTACCATCTGGTCCCTTACAGTAGAGGTTTGCCAATCCATGCTTGTTAGTAACTTAAAGGAAAAGATTAGGCTTGTTTCCCATAAAATATGTAATTTAGTGTTATTTGTGAACTGGACCCAGTTGTCTTTAAAAGCTTAAACAAGAGACATGAAAATTATGGTTTTTTGAAAGTATAAAATCTAAGTCTATGAAATTTTGTGTTTTATGAATTGTTTTTTCTGTATGTGTATTAAAATTCTCCTTACCACTTATTTTCCTTATAGGATATCCTGTTGACACTGCAAAGCCACTGATGATGTGAAAATTACAATAGCATTCCATTTCTTACTTTCATTTGGTTGCCAAATAAATGCAAATTAAGAACTAGGCTTAGTTGAGGTAGATTCTTCAACCTTTAACCACAGGATTTTCTGTTGGTGTGAAATATCTTTAGACACTATATGGAGAGAGATACCTCTTTGAATGACAAAAAAATTATCTTCTGTGAACAGATATAAGAAGAGACTCCTAAATCCAGTGCAGAAAGTAGTGGGTAAGTTCTGTGGTATGCTACTCAAAGCCTTTCCTGCCCTGTCAGGTTCCCAGGCGATTAAGTATGGCATCCAGCTGATCATCCTGCATTTCTATGTCCTTAGTAATGAGTTCTAGTTACTGCTCAGGTCATCTTTGGGCATGTTATCTAGTATCTGAGCCTCACTTTTTCCATCCGCAAAAAGGAATAATAATAATGACACCCCAGAGGGTGAACACAAATAACTTAGAAGTATGCTATGATAGCCCTTAGTAGTTTCCAATTGAAATGTTTGAAGCAGCTAAGGGTCTTTGTAAAATAATAAAGTAATTTAACTTTTAAAAAATTCACGTTTCTGTAGGCATTATAATGAATTCATCAGAATGTTCTTAGGGAAATGTCACCCTCCTCCTGTGCTGGTAAAGCCTTTTCTCCCACTTTTTTCCCAATATTTAGAAGCTAAAAAGCTTGTGCATATAGTTTAGGTCTTTTGCACACTGTCTTTTTGCACCTGGCACATTTTCTCCCAAGTTCACAAAAGAGGCTGATTCCCTGACAGAAAGGGGAAGTCTAGCAAGTCAAAACACTGCTTCAGAAGCTTAGCTGAGGTTATCCTGTTGTCAGACATGCGTGTCTTTACCTGTATCATCTCTCTGAAAATGAGCAGGCTAATGCACTTAACCATGGTTTGGGATAACACAAGGCAAATAGAATGGCAGCTCAGCCAAATATGAAAAGAACAAGGGTGTAGTATGTGCACTGTCAGCCACGTTAGCCTTGTTTTGTTTTTTAATGTCTCAATCATCTGCTATAACACAGAGTATGTTGTATTGTGAGAACAGAAAAGTGAGTGTTAAAAGAGACCAAATGTGGCCCTCTAAAGACTAAAAATCATGGGGTGGAGATCTCTCTCCCCTGCTATACAGAGATATGGTTTGACCACCACTCAAAGACTGGTCTCTCTGAGTTTTATTTCTCCAAAGAATACTTTTGATGTAACATAAATTCTTCAAGAAGCATCAAAACCTTAAGCTTCAGTGTAACTTTGCAATGATCCACAATTTGAATGCACAACGATAAACCTTCTAGAGCTAGAAAATGAGGAGTAGAGTGGAAAATGAAGGTTGAGAGTCAATTTCGAAGGAAACACCAAAAGTGTTTTAAATGATATACTTCCTGCAGCTTTTGTCTTTCCTTTTATATCTCAGGGAATTTCTTTTCTCACAATGGGATTTTAAATTAATTTCTAATTACACACACTTGCAGGAGATGGGAGTGGAATGACCTAATTACAGCCCAAATGGCTCCCCTCTGGCGATCCAGCAGTTAGAGCCACTGGGGTAGGTGATGGGTAGCATCCTGGCTCAGTCCTTACAGCAGCTCCCCGGGCAGTGGGTGCACACAGTTGTCAGCATCATGTCAAAATCTGTGCAAATTATTTGGAAGCCAAAATAAACAAATAAAAGTAAGCTTCAAAGTGATGATAGACTTCAGACTTCCCCTGTTCTACACAGATATAAACACGAACTGTGACCATCAAGGGAACAAAAGCCAGCAGAGAGGTTTAGATCTGGGTCTGTATTTAACTAGATTCTAATTAGTTACAATTAAGCTGCCAGGGAATAACAGCTACGGTGATACTGAAGAAGCAAGTCCCCAGATCAAATGTGTCTCCCACCATTTCTTTAGATTTCTCTTTCTTACTGAGATTTAGTTGGAAGTGATAGAGGAAGCAAAAGGTCTTACCAGGTATCTAATGGGGTCACTGCAGCAGCAAATTCCCTTTTGGTAATTCTTTGGCCTCCCTTTTTGCATATTCTACAGCAAAAGGAATAATTACTTTTATAACGTATACTCCATTCTTCTCTCTTCTTCCAGCCAAGAGACATTTCTCTGCCTTTATCAATCCCCCAAAAGGAGCCTAAACTGTAATCTGGAGTCACATTTTTTTTTTTTTTTTTTTTTGCCAAGTGAGAAAAGAGTATTCTGGCTAATAGGGAGTTCCTAAATACCAGAAGAAACAATGAATAAATGATATAAATGACATGTGGTTGAGATGGAGGAGAAAAAGACCCACCAAATGTACTGTTTATGAATTGGAAGAAAATCAGGTAGAATAGTGTGTCTGTTGCTGCTGTGTAGCCTGCCTGCACCACGTAAATCGGTGAGTGGAGATTTGGCCCAGGTCTTGTGTGCGGGGAGAGACTGCTAACTATAACAAAATGAAAATCCTGAAACTCTCAGTGATACGCGGCTGCGACAGCAAAAGGCCACTCCAGAGGCCTAGGTGACCCAATATTTGCACCCTTTTCTGTATTCTCTTATATGTTTAATGGATTATTTAATGGTATATAGTATAGTTCATATTTAAGTGATAAATATTTGCATAGCCTCATTGACACATTTATTGTGATTTTATTAAACAAAACTATGTAACACTCTTTGTGAGATTATACATATTTTAGTAAGCGCTGTTGGCAAAGAATAATTCATCTAGATATTTTAGTTATAATTTATGTAGTACTATTTCTTTTTGAATAGCAAGACTTTAAATATTTACCATAATCTCATGACTTGAAATCCTGACACAATCTGTTCTTAAAATTTCCCAATAACTTAGGTTAAAAAAATAGAATGAATGCCATTGTTTTCTGACTGTTATTATGTATCCTCTTTTCTACCACAGAGTCTGCGTATTTCAGTATGTTGCTAGGTGTACAAGTGGGAACAACAACAAAGATGGAGCTTGGGGGAGAAGAGAAATAGTCAAAAGAACTAGGAGAATAACATTCTTTCATTGGCCTGCAAGCTAGCCCTATGTACCAAATCTGGTCCACTAGCTAGTTTTGTAAATAAAGTTTTATTGGTACACAACACTCCTTTTATTATTCATTTATTTATTTATTTTTTGTGTTTGTTTATGGCTGATTTTCTGCTATAATGGCAGAGTAAATTGCTGCAAAAACTGTCTGGCCTTCAAAGCTTAAAATATATACTATCTGGCCCTTTATTTAAAAAGTCAATGAATTAATAAAGTGAGAAGGTTAAGCTAACTAAGCTAAGAATTTGTTGCTAAGACAATGTGAAGTTTCATGTTACACCTAGGATATGTGTTATATTGAGTCACTAATTCCTTGAGATCAGTGTAATGGTTTCATGTTACAAATGAGAAATAGTGTTAACCAAATATCTTAAATTGCTAAGCATTTATCCTTTCTCCTAAAATCATTTTAGAATTGATACAATTTATTTTTCAGATGTTATTCATCTTAGTTACCTCTTGTAATTTATCTCTCCTGAAGTCTGACTGGTTGTTGAAAAATAAGCAGATCACTATAGCTCATTACTTTTGTCAAATGGTTCTGATTTTATGGTCCTACAATTACAGCTGTTTTCAGGGATAAGAATGGGAATATTAGCATTATACTGGTCCTGTGTAATTTTTTCCCCCCAAATCCTTTTGTTTTGAGAAACTAAAACTATTATCCTCCTAAATTTCCTATTTCATAAAAAAATTTTGGTTTGAAATCTGTCTTCCTTCTAATATTTTCTCTTTATTATATAATAGTGGTAACATACTATTACAAACAAATATTAAAAGATTATTAGAAAATAGTAAAAATATTGTCAAATTTTATTGTGTGCCAGCACCTGGTCCACAGTTGAAAATTAGTATTTCTGATTTTCCTATCCAAACTGACCTAATTGGTGACAGATAGAGGCATTTATCATCTTAGTACTTATCTTTATACTTATTTTGGGCCGCCGTAGTTATTGTGTGATACACAGGGAATACATTCTAAAGAGTAAACCACTTGATGCAAATGAGAAATGTAGTTACTGCAAAGAACAGAGCAAGTATTGTGATTCAGTTGACATGTTAACTCTAAAAAATGGAGCACCCTGAAAATCTGAGTTATAAGGAGACACACACACACACACACACACACACACGCGCGCGCGCACACCAAAACACCAGGAAAGAAACCAAGAAATTCAGTAAAAGATCTTCAAGACATTGGGGTAGGAAAAGGCTCTATGAACAAAACCTCAGTTGCCTGTGAACTAGCACAAACAATTAACAAATGGGATCTCTTAGTACTAAAAAGCTTCTGCACAGTCAGAGAAACCACCAGCAGTGTGAAGAGACAACCCACAATATGGGAAAAAATTTTCACCAGCAGTCCCTCAGACAAAGGTCTACTATCTCGAATCTATAAAGAACTTAAAAAAATCAGACCTCCCAAATTTAAAGACCCAATCCAAAAATGGGCATCTGAAATGAGCAGACATTTCTCACACAAAGAAGTAGACATGGCAAATAAACATATGAAAAAATGTTCAACATCACTGGTCATTTGAGTGATGCAAATGAAAACAACAATGAGATTCCATCTCACTCCAGAAAGAATGGCTGCTATCATGAAATCAACCAACAACAAATCCTGGCAGGGATGTGGGGAAAGAGGAACCTGCTCCACTGCTGGTGGAAGTGTAGATTGGTGCAACCACTGTGGAAATCAGTATGGAGATACTTCAAAGAACTGGGACTGGAAGTCCCATTTGACCTAGCTATTCCACTGCTAGGTATCTTCCCCAAAGAATTAAAAGAATCATACCACAGTGATATATGTGCGCCCATGTTCATAGTGGCACAGTTTGTAATAGCTAAAACTTGAAACAGCCCAAATGCCCATCAACTGGAGACTGGATAAAGAAAATGTGGGTTTTTAAAAAATAAAATGGAGTACTACTCAGCCATCAAAAACGAGAAATTAGAGACATTTATTGCTAAATGGGTGCACATTGAGGCAATACTTTTAAGTGAAATAAACAGGACACACATGTATAAATACTGAATAGTTTCTCTAGTGTGAGAAACTGAAAGTATAAATAAGGACTAAAAGGTATAATTGATAATGTGAAATAGGAAGAAAAGGGGCAAAGGGGAAGGGGAAGTGGGAGGGGTAGGGGAAAGGAAAGAAGGGAATGGAATTAATATGAGAAAATGAAAAAAAGGAAAGTCTTTGTAAATAGGGAGGGATGGTGGGTTTGAAGGGAGGGCAGGGGAAGGGGGAAAAAATAAGAACCAAGAGAGTATGTAAAGGTGCAGATTTCCAATGATGAATGTCACTATATTGTATACCTAAAATGTACCAATAAAAGGATATACAAAAAGAAAAGAAATTCAGTAAAGGAATACAGATGAAAGTGGATATTTCAGAAAACCTAACAGGTATTCATCCACACAATATCTGTTCTCATTTCTTGTGGGCCAGGTGTATAGTGAAAAAGACAAAGCACACAGTTTAATCTATAGAGGAGCTAGGCCTCACAGGAAAAGTTTCAAGTTAACAAACATAGCTTCTGTTTAAAGGTCTACACACCTTGGCTTGGCTATGAATTTTGTGCATCAGTTTTCTTCTGTATTTAAAATTATCTGCTATAGCAGTAAATATGTTAATGTATTTATGACCCACCATACTGTGTCTGTCTTATAAGAAAACCTTTAATGAATGTTAACCATAGTTAAATTATTAGAGGAAGGACAGTTCAATTGGACAGAAATAATGGTGTTGGACACATGGCTGCCTAATAAGTATTTTGAATGATCTAATGAATGACTAGAAAAACAAGAAAATAAGCAACACTTTTTAATAAGGAAAAACATGAAAACTGTAATAAAAAACATACAATTGTTAAATGTAAGTAGAACTATTACTCTAGTGAAAAGCAAGATTAATAGAAAAAGCTAGTTCAGGAATACTCTAAAACATAGCCATTCAAATACCAAAAGTAGTATTGAAAATGAGGGGCAGGCCAATGTATACCATGTAAATAAAAACCAACAGAAAGTAGACAGGCATCATCAGACAAAGAAATACAATGGCCTCCCAAAATTCACAGGAGTTATGTTCCTAGAGCACCTGTGAATTGTGAAAAACCATGAATTTCAGATCAGAAAAATGATTACAAGTGCCAATAATTATAGGTTAAATCCTAAATATGCTGTGTCTCCTGCAGTTATGTAATTTAATTTAATAAAATACTGTATTAATAAAGCCTTGAAGGGTGCAGAGTACTTTGTAGGCATCTTATGGGCCTTAAGGCCTTAAGAACAAAACCAAGAACACTGGCGAGAGCTACACCCGCTTCACCACCTGTTATGATGTGAGAATCCTGGCTTCATGGTAGCAGCCAATCAGCAGCAAGGAGAACTAAATGATCCTCTCAGATTGGCTACTTGAAACCCCACCCCAAGAACAACAACAACAACAAAGAACCCCCAAAAACAATTGTGGAGGATATTTGTGATTTCCGTGAAATTGCGGGACATTTCTGGGAATAATTATTAATTAGGTTCTAAGGAAAAATCTGCTAAGGACTGAAGCTGTGAACTGTGAACTGCGACACTTTGGTGGGGGAGTATACTATATTCAAAGTAAATAAACATTGAATGACAGAAAAGAATGTTATTTTAAGATAAAAGATAAGATTTGTAATGAAGATAAGCAGACATGTACCACTAGAAATATAAACCATTATACCATATTTAAAGCAATTACTCATATAAATACTAAGCCATTACATTAGGAAGATGCAATATACATCTCTCATACTTTACTTACAATGTAACCATAAATGATTATAAAGTATATTCTCACTATATTTAAAACTAATCTTCCCATCTGATAAATTTAAGCTTTTCACACCCTTTTTGTACTTTAAAATTTCAAGATAAATCAAATTATTTTTATTAAAACACATAAAATAGGGTGATAGATGTAATATTTTTACATTATAAGCACTCTCCAACTTGATACACCGCGAAGGAGTTTGTGGTACAAGTTGAAAAAAAATCACTCTTATGTATCAAAATAGTATGATTAATAAACATGCAGAGACTACTTCACTGAGAAAACACAGGTTAATGTCAACATTATGAGACATTTACAAAAATTGCTAGTAAAGGAAACACAAGACATTACCACTGTGTAGTTTCAAAGGAACCAGCTGCTTCGCAGGCGACCGGTGACAGAATGTGGGCAGCTCTGTGCAGACCGACTGAAGGCAGGTGCTGCACCGTGTCCCCTAGTGCTACCACAGAATGGTAAACCTCAATGAAGGCTTGAGATGCAACCAAAGCATGTTTATATGGCACACAGCTTTGAAAAGGCCCTTGAGGTGTACAGAGGTTCAATGAGCAATCAAAGAAAAACATCTCAAGTCACTTAGAATTTTGCAGCCAGGGAGCCTGCGTGCTGTTCACCTGGCCACTTGGCCCCAATCTGTGTCACCTCCACGCTCCTGCCTCCCCCTCTCCTGTATCACCAGCACATCTTTGCTGCTTTTTTCTCTATTAAAGTTCTTGAGAATAATTTGTTTGCATAAAGGGTCTCCCTACGAAGAATGGCCTCGAGATCACAATTTGGTGATTTTAAAAAAATTACTTTTATTTAATTTTTTAGATTAATTTTATTGGCACATTTTAGGTATACAATATGATCACATTCATCATTGGAAATTTGCACCTTTACATACTCTCCTGGTTCTTATTTTTTCCCCTGCCCTCCCTTCAACCCCTCCATCCCTCCCCATTTACAAAGACTCTGTTTCCATTTTTTCATTTTCTCATATTAATTCCATTCCCTTCTTTCCTTTCCCCTACCCCTCCCACTTCTCCTTCCCCTTTGCCCCTTTTCTTCCTATTTCACATTATCAATTATACCTTTTAGTCCTTATTTACACTTTCAGTTTCTCACACTAGAGAAACTATTCA